GGTCAGAGTCTCCAGCACTTCCCCGGCCTAGGCTGTGGAATTTGGCAGGACACATGGACATAGGCCGGTCCCTAGCGGCGCTGCTTGGAGGCTGCTGGAAACCGACCCTCCTCTACTCCAGAACCACCAGGGGCTGGCTCCCCACTTTCGCAGGGCGACAGCCCCATATGCGGCGGGTTCAGGGAGTATCTCAGTCTGGCCCCAATACAACTTTTCAGTCTCAGCCTGTAACTTCATTACCCCTCCCGCCACATTCACCCCTTCCTCCCCAAAGGTCCTGATAACCGCAACCTCATTTCCAAGCATTCCCACCCTTTGCACTTTTTAAAGATGGAGCAAATAACGTCCCGGATGGAGAGGGAAGAGTCAGTAAATGTAAATGACTCAGCAATCGATTCAAAGGCCTTGCCTTAGGCACTTGGGACGCCTGGCCTGGCAGACTGCCACGCACAGTAGGTGTCCTCTTCCTCTTTTCTGCGAGGCCAGGAGGGAAGGCCCAGAGAAGGCCCGGCCGGCCGGCCTCCAGGCCTCTCCAACGAAGGCGTTTGCCAGTGGCCCTGGAGGCCGCCTCCTTAGGTCAGTACTGGAGTCCCGGGATGGGTGGGTTTAAGGAGTGATCGCTGAGGTCCCAAGGCTCTGAGAATGCATCTGGCAGCAGCTGGACTGAGGCAACTGGGCTTTCATCCAGTCCACACCCAGCCTGGGCTAGGGTTGCGGGGTTCTTGAAAGCTCCTGAAGAAGGAGATCTAGGGGTAGCCCTGTTCCACAGTCCACGCTGGGGCTGGGCGGGCTCCCATGCCACGTTCACTGTCAGGGCAGAGGCTGAGTTTGTTGCTTTTCTGGCTTTGCTTCTGGGGCCAGCAGCTGGGCAGAGTGGGGTCTGGGTTTTCCTGGGCCTTGGATCTGCTTGGATACTGCCAGGGACAGGGAGCTCGTTTCCTATCAGGGCAGGCCCAGCTGCCCTAGGAAGCCCTGGCGGTAAGAAGGCCCTTCCCGCACACTGCTCGCGCATGTCCCTGTAATGCTCTCCCTGCCCTGGCTTGGCTCTGAGCTGTCTGTCCGGGGGTGAGCTAGCTTCTCAGGGCGAATAGAAGAATGACATGTTCTTGGAGCCCCCCTTTGCTGCTCCTCTGAGAACACATCCTCCTTGTCACCCACCTTGTCCCGTCCCCCCAGGGAGGGCCCCGAAGCTAGAGACCTGGCTCTGGAGATGTCAGTGAAGTTTGGTGAATGAGAATCCAGCCGGGAGCTTATGAGACCCCTGCCCCCAACTTCCTCACAGCCTGTGCTCCCCCCACCGCCCTGCCCACCTGGCTTCCTTCTGAGCTTCTGCTATCCAGGAGGCCACCCAACACCACACACACACACACACACACACACACACACTGCACATGCTGTTGTCCCTGCTAGGGGACCCTCCCTGCCCCATCTGCCCCTTTCCTGAATCCCGGACTGGGCTAGATCCCCAGAGCCCTGGTCTCACTCCACTTTTACTCACAGATATGATCCGTAGGCAGGGGGTGCTCTCTCCCTGCTGGACCTTGAGGCTGGGAGGCCAGGGCCTGGTCTGTCTCGTCGATTGCCAAAGCCCAGGGCCAGCGGGATGCCCAGTGCACCGAGGGCCCTCAAAACGTGAATGCTGTAAGGACCAGCGCCTTCTCTGCCCCCCTCCCCCCACCATCGGGCCGCTTCAGTCCCACACAATGGACGCAGGCATCTTGTGATGGGTCACTGGCCGTTTATTGGGAGGCTGGAAGGAGTCCTGGGCGCGGAACCTCGATCCCTTCCCTCGGCCCTGGCTTGGAGTATCCAGCAGGGTGGAGGAGCAGAGGAGGGGTACTTCTGGGTCCCCTTGGTTCCTCAAGGACTCTCGTGTCTGGGTAGCACCGGGCGTCACCGCCAGAGGCAGGCCCGCAGCCTAAGTTCTAGCGGCTGCCTGCTTGGATTCGAGGCTCCAGACCCAAGAGGAGCAGGGGCTCAGGATGCCGCCCGGCAAAACAGGAGCAGCGGTGCGAGTGGCCGGAACGCGGCGGGCAGCCCCTGGACCGGGACCCAACCTCGGCCCCGCCCAAGCTCCGCCCATCCCCGCCCCCAGAGTCGCTCCCGGGACCCGCCCGGCCCGGCCCGGCCCGGCCCGGACCCCAGCAGCACCCCGCGTGGGGCACGGATCCTGGCGGCAGCAGCTCTATCGGCCCTTTTGGCCCAGCCCGTCCGCGTTCGAGGGCTCACATGGGTCCGCGCACGCCTTGGTCACCACCACAGTGCCACGAAGGGGTAGCCTGCGGGCGGGACAGAACCAGGGTCGCGAGGGCGCAGACCTGTTTGTCCGCAGTGCGAACTGGGGGACCGGCCCATCGTGGACCTGAAACTCAGTTCCGTAAAAAGGGGGCGGTCTCCCTAACAGAGGGTAGCTCTATCGCAGCCCTGGGGGAGACCGACTCGATTACTTCTGTGCTGGGGTTCTTTTCTGGGCAGACCTGGGCCCCCAGGGCATGTGCTGACGTTCAGGCAGCGGGCCACGGTGGTGGTCCAAGCATTGGGCACAGGCGAACTGCTCACCTGCGGGCTGCCCCAACACCCCACAGCTTTTGTGGGGTGGATGGATGGGGTCCCGGCTCTGCGCCCTGCAGCTGTGGGTGCTTGGGCAAGAACTCTGCATCTCTTCTGACTCAGGAAGGGCCCCCTGGGGTACTCCAGGACTGCACAGCACCTACTGGAGACCCACTCTCCTTCCCGTCTAGCTTGACTCCCTGCTGCAGCTGGAGTCCAGTGGGGAGGGTGGGGACATCCCCGGGGAGCCAGACCAGTCATCAACCTCAGCCCCGGCGGAGAGACGTCCGGCCGAGCCAGAGTCCTCAGGGGAGGAAAGCCCAGGACTTGGTGTGGCTGGGAGCTGGGGCCAGGGCGGGAGATGCCCACTCAGGGGCCCGATTTGGGGTGGGCAGGAGCCCTCTGTGTGACCCCGGGTCAGCTCCTTCACCTCTCTGGGCCTCTTTCTACCGGGGTTGGAATGCAGCCTCACCAGTTCTAACTAACTGTGTGATCTTGGGCAAGTTGCTTCACCTCTCTCTGCCTCGGGTTCCTCCTCTGCACAGCCCTGCCCCCAAGGGGGGAGGAATGAATGAATGACTGCAAGGGAGGTGGCAGAGGAGTGCGGGGCCCGAGGTGAGCGCTATGCCATGTCTGCTTTTGTCGTCACCTATTACTATAGATGCAGACAGACCAGGACAGCATCTCTCCCACGGAAGATGCTCGGCAGGTGGCATCTTAAAAACAAAAACACGTCGGTCTGTCCGGAGGATCACCTCAGCCACCACGGGGTGTCTCGTCCTTACCAAGGAGAGATAGAGGTTTAAAAAAAAGAAAAAGCGGTTTCCTGAAGAGAGTGCGACCAGGTGTGTAAACGCGCAGGATGCTCCTTATTCTTGCACAAGAAGCGTCACCATGAGGGTGAAAATGGGGACCATCCTAGGGCGTGGGGAGAGGGTTCTGCACTTCCTCTTTCTTGCTTTCCCACAGTTTCTGACGATGAAATGGTGTGGGGTGGAGCGGGTGGGGGTCCCAGTCCAGACGCTGCGTTGGGCTGGCTCAGGGACCCTGGGCTGCCCCTGCAGGTGGCCCCCATGCTGTCCTCACCCTTGGAGAGGCAGAGCCCCCGTCAGCCTCCATCCTGCGGGAGGGGGAGACCTGCCCCGCGGTGCTGGGTTGGGAGCGCTCCTGCGCCTCCCGGGGCCCGTCCCTCTTCTGGAGGCTCAAGGCTGCGTGACCTCAGGGACGGCTCAGGAGGCGAGAGGAGGCCCCGGGTTACAGGGCATGGGGACCCACCCGCCATCTCTCTCCTCTCATGTTGACCCAAAGAATTCAAACCACTGGGGCCCAGGGCACCTCACCTCCATGAGCCTTGGCCCCAGGGCGGAGCACCCCTCCACAGGGAGGCGCTAAGGTGTGGGTTGTCATGGGCTCTGAGTGCGGGGACCTCTGGTCTCCTCTTCCCTCCCGACGTCACCAGATGCAACACTGGGCTCCCTGGGGTGCCCTGGCCTGGACTCGGGTGAGTGCGACCCCACCCCACCTGCTGCTGTGCCAACCTGGAGGGTCTCTCCAGTACCCGGGTTCTAATCCTGCCTAATCCACCGCCCAGCGCCTGGTGTGGGCTGGAAGCACCGTCCTGTGCAGGCAGGTCTCACCCAGGGCCCGGCCCTCCATGAGCCCTGGTGCCCGAGGGCAGGGGCCAGCTGGGTTTTCAAAAGGACTTTCCCAGGTATGAAAAAGGCCAGGCAGGGGCCGCGTCCCCTGGGGCTCCCCCAGGCCTCACAGTTAGTTACCCCGGAAGGAGCCCCAAGCGTGCGATGGGAGCATCCTAGAGAGGGGAGGGGCCCGCGGTCGGGGTTGGGGAACTGGCTCAGCACTGGAGACCCTCTTGTACAGTTTGAATTTTTTGCTCTGGGTGTGAAGCCCTTACAACAAACAAAATAAGAAATTGAAGAAACAGACAGAGGGGCTGTCCTCAAGCTGAAGGGGGAGGACAGGGCAGGGGTTCTGGTGGCCTCATGCAGCAGCAGCAGCCCCTCCCACCCAGAAATGTCTCCATGCCTTGGAGTCTCTGGGTCAGTCCTCACAGCAGAGATGGGTCCCAGTGAGCATCTGAGGCTCAGAGAGGTTGAGCAACATGTGCGAGGCCACACAGCAAGAGCCGGGAGGTCCCAGGGACACGGCCTTCCAGCAATGTCCTCCCTTCTAGGAGTCAGACATTTGCTCCTGCCCTGGCCGGAGCCAAGGGCACAGCCACAGCCACAGACGTGGCCCCAGGTGGCAACCCTTCACAGCCCTGGACCACAACCTTGACCTCAGCCTGCAGGCATGCAAGGACAGGTTCTCTGCAACCAAGCCCGTGGGCCTTTATTAAGGGCCTACTGTGTGTTGGGGTTGCTGCCCCAGGACCCCTATGAACATGGGGAGCTGTTCCCCCCTCCAAGCTTCATCTCTTGGGGCTCCCAGGACCTCACACCTCTGACCCTAATTCTACTCGGAACATTTCCTCTCAGCCTTTTTGGGGCCCTCCTGAGAGCCTGCTTCATGCTGGGTGCGGGGGACACCACGGACAGGACCTGGCTCAGCTCGTGGAGGGGGCAAGCAGGGAAGGCTTCCTGGAGGAAGAGGTGCCTGAGTGAAGGTTAAGGGGTGGGTCGGAATATTGGGAGGGGGTCTGATGGGCCATCTGCACGCTGTTCCACATCACAGAGCGCAGCCTGCCGGCCGGTGGGAACTGGGCCGGAGTCCTGGAGGGAGCCAGGGAGGGCTGGAAAGGGCAGAGGGGCATCGCCCGACCTGAGTTAGGGTTCAGAAGGGGCCGTGACTGGACCGGGTGTGTGTGAGGAGTGCCCCCCGGGCCCCTGGGCACCACTGCCCAGCATGGGACACAACAGCGTCCTCCTGGATCCTACAGCTGCCCGGGGCCCCAGAATAGCAGCACACCAAGAGCGGTGAGCAGCGTCAGGGTGACGGTGGCCGGCTGCAGGGCGTGGGCCCCGCTGGCGTTGCACAGGTCAGTAGAGCAGCATGTGACGTTTTTCTCGCCCACGTAGTAGTTCTCTGAGTCCTCCACACAGTGCGAGCTGCAGCCCTTCCTGATGAGGGTCAGGAGATCAACAGCACCTGGGCGAGGCATGGGGACCACTGGGTGAGGGCCGGGCCCTGGATACTCACCCACCAAGTATAGATGGGAAGCTGGGCATCTATATTTATGTGTGGACAGGAGAACAAGTGGGCAGGTGGACAGAAGGATGAACAGTCCAGCGCAGAGACCTAATCCCAGGCCCTTTGAATCCCTGCCAGTGGAGGGAAGGTGCAGGGCTTCTAGGGGATGGTGCAGGGGCCAGGGCAGGGGCACAGGGAGGCCTGCGGGGACAGCAGGGCCACTTACGGATGCGCTCAGTCCAGCACTGGGTCTCAGAGTGGCTGCAGTTCTGCACATGCTGGCAGTCCTGGTTGCTGACCTCGGCCTGGCAGGAGTAACACTGCAGGGCGGTGCCTGCAAGGTGGGGGTGGGGTGGAGCTCAGAGGCTGCCCAGCCTGCCCTCCCACGCTGCGGGGGTATGGGGGGAACCTCTTTTTCTCATAGGTCACACAGAGTAGAGAGCACTGTCTGGTGCACAAGAGCCACAAACTGGGGGCCCCTCACAGGGAGGGCACCATGCCCACCCCCTTGCTTCTAAGGCCCTGTTACGATGCCCACGCTCCTGAGAGGGACGCACACCAGGCAGGTGAGGGCAGGATGGACAGGACCCTTCACACTCCCTCTCAGCATCCCCCTCCCCCCAACCCGGAGCTGTGAGCCCGTAGGTGCGCCCCTGGCCCCGCCCTGCTCTGTCCCTGGGGGCAGTGGCCCCAGCTGTCATGATGATTAGGTCTCCTCTGGGTAAAACAATGATGAAGCTGGGGTCCACGTCACCCCAGTGCCAACAGGTTCCCCACGGCCAGCTTGTGCTCGGGCACCACACACGCTGGCCAACCCGTGTGTCCTCGGGCACCACCATGATCCCTGCTTTCCAGAAGAGGGTGCTGAGGCTCTGAGGGCTTTACTGATCACCCGGGGCCCTGGCCCGGGAGAGTCCCTACCAGGCCCGAGTCCAGACTGGAGCAGTGCAGGCCCACAGCCTACCCCTGCTGCCCCCATCAGAAGCCGGGGCTGGGCCTGGGCAGAAAGATCTCTTCCCTCCGTCCCTCTGTGGCCCTTCTTCACTTGAGGCCCTTTGCCCCTGTGCCCCCCACCCACTCCACAGGCTCTCTGCGCATCCCTCCAGCAGCCAGGCCAGCCCCACGGCGCTGGAGGAGAGACCCCCCCATGCCGCCCGGCCTGCTCCCGCCTCGGGGGACAGCTAGGAGATGACCCGGTATCCTGGCTGCACTAAGAGCTGCCCCAGGGGGAGCTGGGTGGGGTCAAAGCCCCTTCTCCGCGCCCCTGCCCCGTGTCCTTCCGCCCAGACTGCCCCCTCCTTCCTCTCTGCCCCTCTGGCCTTCCTCGATCATCCCCCCCGCCCCCCGCCCCGGCCCTGCTCCCCCCACCCTGCCCTGTGGCCCCCTGCGGTCTCACCTGGCTGCAGGGCCAAGACAGCGGCTAGCAGGGCCAGGAGGACAGCCTTCATGGTGGTGGGTGGGCAGCAGGGAGCAGACCTTGGGCGGCTTTATATGGTTCTGCTGGCTGGGGTGGGGGGGTGGCCGCCCACAGTCAACACCAGTAGCTTCCTGGCTGCAGGGCTCCAGGGCGGGGCAAGTCCCAATCTCCAGCCCCCAAATGGCTGCACCCTCCCGCTCCCTTTGGCCTTCTTTCTGCTTCGGGAAGGCAGAGCCTGCCCGGGGCAGGGGCCATTTCTCAGCCGCCTCAGGACGAGGCCCCAGACCACTTCTCCACCACCTCAGAGGGGCGGCAAGGCCAGAGAAAGGAGAGCGTATTCCCCAGATTCACTCACTCTTGTCTTTGAGCCCAGGTTGAGAGCCCCTCTCTCGGCCCCACTGTGCTCTGTGTGGGAGCCATGCTGACCCCTGTGGCTGAGTCCCACTGGGGTGACAGGCCTTGATCAGATGGCACAATCAGCAGGAAGGAAATGCGGGCTGCAGAGAGGGGGCCTGGTGGGGACCTTCTGGGGAGGCTGCCAGGGCGCGCGGGTGTGGAGCACAGCGTACGGGCCGGAGCTGCGGGCCTCACCCTCATGACCTTACTCAATACCCCACCACACCGTGGCACTTTAGCTGCAAGGGAGTCCTGGAAATGCCGTGTCAGTGGCCTCTGCGGGACGAGGAGGTGACAAGAGCTCGGCACTGGGCCAGATATTTTCCATCCAGACCCAGGCCCCCTCTCCACCCTGTTTGTGTCCTGGGTCCCATAAGGATCCTATAAAGGCTTCCACTGGCCAAGACCTGAGGGTGAGATGCTCAGCAGTCAGGCCACCTGTTCTGCCGCACCTGACGCCTGGGCCACCATGGCGTCACCAGCCTTCTCCCATCACAGCAGCTCCAGCCAGCCTCTGGGACTGGCCCTTCCCCTCATTCCTCTGCACCTGGGAGGGCCAGTGGCTCCTGGCTGCTGTTGCCCTGGGGGCCATGAGTGGTCCCTGTTGCCCTCTCAACCTGACCCTCCCTTTGTGCCCAGTCTCCCTGGGACCCCTTGGAGTGTCGACCAGGTGGTGGCAGGCACAGGCTGCACCCACTGCCTGCTGGCCCCAGGGTGTGTCTGGGGGCACGAGCTCCTCCTACAGGGGGAGAGGGCCTCTCATTTCCTCAGGTCTTCCTGGCCCTGTGGATGGCCTCGTGGAGCACATCTCACTCCCCTCCTTGGTTTACCCCCCAGAAAAGGGCCCAGGGCACGTCAGGGGTGGAAAGGATGTTGCCAGACGCAACATCCTTAGGGGAAGGGGCTCCGTGGGCCGCAGGGAAGGCCGAGGGGCAGTGGATGGCTCGCAGTGGGGGGCAGCCCGGGAGCAGGGTGACAGGGCAGTGTGGGCCAGGGGTGCCCTGAGACCCGGCCCTCCCGGGATTCACAGCACTCCTGGGGTCTACCCCGACCCCAGCCCCCCAGCTCCCCCCAGGCCGGGCTCTGTCCCTTGGAGCCTGGGGCCCAGAGAGGGAGGAACTTGCTCAAGGTCACACAGAGGTGAGTGTGTCCCCCGCACCAGTGCACCTTCCTTGCCCATGCTACGTGCCTGGCACTTTCTCTCTGAACATGCCCCCCCCCCCGGCCCCCCGCCCCCTCAGCTCAGCTGCCTCACGTGGGATGTAAAATGTTTGTGCCTTCACTGTTCCCTTGTGGGGCTGCCCGTCTGCGCCCCTCCCCCACCCCAGTTCACGGGGAGCTGCGGTGCCCTGGGCTGGGGCCTTTCTTATCTGTTTTGTGTTCAAGGCACCCAGCACCTAGCACCAGCCTGAAGCACTCATTCTTCAAATATTGACAGTTGCCCGTGTGTTCACTGATGTGATTTGATATGAAGTGGTTGCTGTAAAGCAGTGGTTCTCAGATGGGGGCGTTTCCGTGGCCCAGGGGACGTTTGGTGGGGCCTGAAGACATTTTCAGTTGCCCGAATGGGGGTGCTCCTGGTGTCCAGGGGTGCAGGCCAAGAATGCTGCTCCACACCCTGCCGTGCACAGCACGGCACAACAGAGTCCTTGGCTGACGCAGGCAGGACCCGCCGGGAGCCCCGGTGGTGACGCCGCTTTGCTGGGGTTGGGACCCGCCACTCTCCCTTACGATTTTTCCCTTTGTGGTGGGAATCTCTGCTGTATTTTGGAGGCACGTAATTTGTCTGGTTGCACAGATTCACAGCCAGAGAGGAATTTGCCAGGATGAATCCTACCTGGACTCGGCCATGTCTGACGTAGAGAGGGTCTGGAGGAGACTTTGGGCTTTAGGGGTTAGTGCGGACCCCGTAATGAGTTAAGACTCCTGGGCTTATTGGGATGACGGGAATGCACCGTGCATGTGAGAAGGACGTGAATTTCGAGGGCCAAGGGCGCAGTGCTATAGGCTGAACTGTGTCCTCCCCTAATTCATATGTTAGAGCCCTAACCCCCACCCTGATGGTTTTCAGAGAGGGGGCCTCAGGGTTGGATGAGGTCATGAGGTTGGGGCCCTCACGATGGGATTCGGTGACCTGAGAAGATGTGGCACCAGCTCTCTCTCTACCACGCGAGGATACAGTACGAGGGAGCCACCTGCAAACCAGGAATAGAGTCCCCACCAGAACCTGCCCGCCCAGGAACCCTGATCTCAGACTGCTGCGCTCCAGAGCTGGAAGAGAAAAAATTCTCTTGTTTATGTCACCCAGACTCTGGTATTTTGTTATGGCAGCCCAAGCTGACCGAGATAGATGACCTAATGGACATGACTCAAATATAGAAGACCACGGCTGTGATGCCCTGTGGACAGTTATTAAACTCCGCTCCTAATAACAGTTTGAGCTCTGACCTGGGCCCCAAACTGAGCTCTCATTGGGGTCAAAGCCTGAGCGCCGACCCTGGGCCAGTGCTGAGCCCCATCCCATCACTCATGCACTGGGCATGCAGTGAGCCTCAATGGAGCCTGGATCCTTTGGTGGGATCCAGCTTTCCGGGAAGGCCTGTGGGGGCGTGACTGCCTGCGGTCCCTCCACACAGGAATGGGGTCGAGGTGTGGCTTCGATGTGACTTCCCCTTAGCCCGCTTCCTTTCCTCTGCTCTGCGGCCACCTCCTAGGACTCCAGATTTTCCTGTTCTCTCGTGGCCCTCCACCTGCCCGCCCAAACCGGTTGGGTTCCCTGGAAATCCTGCCTGTTCACATAGCTCAGAGATTTCCCTGATCTTGTCAGTGTGAAGCTGGGGCTGCTAGGACTGGTGGTGGGGCTGGGCACTGGGGGGAGGCAGGCTGTGTAGGGTAGACCCACCTCACAGGGGTTCCTTACCAACGGGCCACTGCCACCTCCTGGGGCTTCCACGTGGTTCCACACTTTCATGGACATCAGTTTTGGATGAATTCATTATTTTATGCAGAATTAATAAAAAAAATAAAGATGGGGTATTACTGCAAAACTGCAACTGAATTCTCTTCCACATTTGTAGACATTTTCCTTTAGAAAAATGCATGTATCACCAGGAGGGTAATTGGTGCACTGCCAGATCCCTGACAGATTGGGGAGAGCGTCCACAGTGCCAGGCTCCCCATTATAGGTTCTCAAAATTAAAGCCGTGTACTGCAACTCCGACTCTGTGAGGGTGTCTCTGTGTGTGAAAACTGCATGTGGGAGCGACCGTGTGGAATGCATGTGTGAGGGTGTGTTCCTGGGTGAACAATGTACGTGGAGGGCGTGTGTAAATGCGTGTCCCACAGCTGAGTGTGCGTGCAGGGCACTGAGACCCCGTCCACCTGATCGGTGCGCCAGCCCCACACCGTCTGTCCTGGGCTCAGGGGTCTCTGTCCCCAGAGAGCCCTGGTTGCAGAGGTGCCCCTCCTGTGTGTTCCCGAGTCCTCAGGGCCTTGGTGCCTCTCAGGACTGAGCCCCTAGCCGGCCCCCCTTCTCCTGTCCACTCCTACCTCCCTGAGTGAAGTCGGGGAGCCAGGAGCTCCGGCCACACCCCCAGCCCCCAAGTAAAGTCCCCTCTGCTGTGAGAAACCCTCGCCCTGGCTCTGGGGGGACCGGACATCTCTCCACCCGAGTGTCTGGAACCTGGGCTGGGTGCCCAGCATGGCGCAGGCCAAGGGCCATGGGCAGAGGGGCCACAGCACTCAGGAGCCCCGTGGGCTGGGAAGACAGTGAGAGCAGGACCTCGCCAGGCCTGGTGGCCCAGGAGGACCTTTCTGAGGCACGTGGGATGCCACTGGAGGGGGCGGTGTGGGGGCATCTGCTCAGCCAGACCCTCTCCAAGGCCTTTGGGCTGTGGACAGTCTGGCTTGGTGGGGGGCCTGACCTTGTGCATTGGGGAGATACTTGGGGGAGGGGGCCCTCCATGCCAGGCTTCATGTGACACCAGGGGATGGTCTTCCTTCTCCTTGTCTCTTCCCGACCCCTTCCTCTCTGCCAGAGTGGACTCAGTCCTGGAGACGAGGCCCAAGGCTCGCAGTGTGATCGTGGGAGCATCGGCCCCAGCAGGTTCTGAGGGGAGCAAGAGATCCGGTTCCCACAAGGTGGCAGCAGAGTGCCATGCGGGGATGAAGACGGCCTTCCTGGGGTCAACCTCACCATCCCCGGAGACCCCGCTGGCTAAGGGCCCTCCAGTCCGCCGGGGGGCAAGGGCAGAAGCCAGGGCCAGGAGGCAACAGCGGGTTCAGGGCGGCCTGGGGGGAGTGAGCAGAGGCCAGACGCTGCCTGGATGTGGAGGGCAGAGCGTGGGGGTGGGGGGACAGAGAGTCAGGGACGACTCCGCGTTTTTGGCCGGAGCGATGGAGACGTGGAGCTGCCACTCACCGCGGTGGGTGGTGTGAAGCTGGAGCCCGGCCAGGGGAGGGGTGCGAGCGCAGCTGTAGAAATGCCGGCTCGAGGGTTAGAAGGCTACGTACGTCGGGACGCTGGGTAGGGCACAGGCGGCTAGAGTTTGCGGGAGGGGTCCTGGCAGGAGGCATAAATTTGGGAGCTGCCTGCCTTTGCTGGTGGGCACAGCAGGAGACTGGAGGAGATCCCAGGAGGGGGCGTGGACAGAGAGGAGAGAGCCCAGGGGTGAAGCTGGCCCGTTGGGAATCAGCAGGGGAGGGTGAGGAAGGAGGGCCAGGGGTGGTCGCGTCCTGGGAGCCAAGGGAAGAAGGTGAACGAAGAGGGAGAGAACTATGCAAATCTATCCTAGTTCCCTGTTGCTGCTGCAACACATGACCATAAACTGGGCTTAAAACAACACACAGGGCTTCCCTGGTGGCGCAGTGGTTGAGAGTCCGCCTGCCGATGCAGGGGACACGGGTTCGTGCCCCGGTCCGGGAAGATCCCACATGCCGCGGAGCAGCTGGGCCCGTGGGCCATGGCCGCTGAGCCTGCGCGTCCGGAGCCTGTGTTCCGCAACGGGAGAGGCCACAACAGTGGGAGGCCCCCGTACCGCAAAAAAAACCCCAACCCCCCCCCCCCACATTTATCATCTTACAGTTCTGGAGGTCAGAAGTCTGACACAAGCCTTACGGAGCTAAAAATCAAGGTGTCCACAGAGCTGTTTCCTTCTGCAGGCTCTTTTCCGTCTCCTGCAGGCCCTGCATTTCTTGGCTGGTGGCCCCTTCCTCCATCTTCTAGGTGCACACTCCATCCTGCGGCTTCTGTCACATCTTTTCTGCATCCTCACATCCTTCTCCGGCTCTGTGCCTCCTTCCTCCCTCTTATGAGGACCCTGTGATGACACCGGGCCCATCCTCATAATCGGGATAATCTCCCATCTCAAAAATCGTAACGCAATTGCATCTGCAAAGTCCCTGATGCCATGTGAGGTGACCCAGTCACCGGTTCTGGGGATTCGAGCTTGGACGTCCTCTGCCCCCCATGCAAAATACATTCACCCCATCCGAAGGTCCCCCAAATCTCAACTCATTGCAGCATCAACTCAAGTCTGAATCTCATCCAAGTCTCCCCAGCTCAGAAATTTTAAATCTTATCATCCAAATCATCTAAATTAGGGGTGGATGAGGCCAGAGAGGAGGAAAACAGCGTTGGTCGGTGGACTTCGCAAAGGGAGGGGCTCAAGCACTGCCCTCCTTCATCAGAAACGTCCCCACTCGAGGCCTCCCGGCTGGGGGCGCCGGGCCCACCCTACCCTGCTGCCACCCCTGCCCAGGACAAGAGGCCCCGCCTTTTCGGCCCAGAGATGCACCCATCTCCGAACCCGAGCCTATGGTCACCGCGCGCCCGCCGCTACCCGCGGAGACACAGAAACGCCGAGTCCCCCGGGCCGCCTAGAGCGTCCCGGAAGTGGCTGGGGGAAGGCGGAGCGGCGCGGACCGGCGGGGGGCGGGGCGTTTCCGGCCGGCGGTGGCGGCTCGTGGTCAGCAGGTGAGTGGCGTCCAGGCTTGCGGGGGCGCAGGGCGGGGCCCGGGGCCGAGCTGCTGGTGCGGAGCCTC